TATTATTACCTTGTTCTTCTGTAATCCAAATACAACTCATAGTATATTCATTACAAAAATCATTTTGACTAATAAATACTTCTATTGGAGGTAATTTGTTAATTCTAATCTCTTTTTTCCCAGAATAAGGATATTGAATAAATTCATCTTCAACTAATTTTAATATAATTTCATCTGGAGTTTCAACAAAAATCTTCATTTTAAGTTGTTGTGTTGTTTCGTCAATACGAGCCATTCCTGGAAATACTGAATTCAATATTTCATATTCTTGTTTCAATTCTTCTATCTTCATAAATTGATACTTCTAAGACCTTTTCAGTTTATATATAACTAGAATTTACTTTGAGTTTTAAGTGTTGTGATGTTTCATTTCATGAGACATTAAAATTAAGATTTTAATTGAATCACTTTATTTAATTCAAATAAACAACAAATTAAATAAGTGAAAAATTCATGGAAATTCTAAACTCAAAAAAAACAATAAAAATAGAATAACAAAAAATAAAATAAATGATATGAAAGACAATATTATATAACATTTAATAAATCAATTATAATTTTGATTTACAAAACACAAAAAGAACTAAATAAAAAAGATTGTGAAAGGAAAACAAGGATATGGGAAAGAGACAATTGATATTACTAGTAGGATTACCATATGTCGGTAAGTCATCAATACACAGAATAGTTTTTGGAAAAAAAACGCCAGGAGAAACATCAAATTTAAAACCAACACTTCATATTCAAAAGATAAAAATTGAAGGATTAAGTGGGTTTATGGAAGTGTGGGATATTCCAGGAAGTATTTTAATGGAAATGGATGAAAATATAATGAGAGAAATCTTAGAAGAAACGATTTCAGTTGTGTATGTTTTTACATGTCAAACACAATCATTTTCAGAACAAATGAATTATATGTCTGCATTTATTGGGTTAGCACATTCAATTAATGATAAAATTATATTTGAATTTTTACTTCATAAATGGAGTTCAGAAGGAATTACTGATGATAAAATTAATATGAAAACAGATGTTGAAACACTTGGTAAGAAAGCATTACTTAATAAAAATATAAATATTGATTTTAATGTTACATTAACTTCTATCTATGATAATTCTTTATACTCCTTTTTCTCTTCTTTATTGAATATTGTTTACATCAAATCTTCTGTTTTTAATCAATTATTAGAAAATTATGTTGAAAAATGTCCAGCAAATGATGCATTTCTTATTCATATTCCAACTCGATTATATATTGCTTCAACAAAAGAAAGTTCATCTTCTTATGGATTTTGTAAAGAAGCATTTAACTTTTTTATTGATGTTTTTTCAACATATTCATCTGAACAACAATTGGAAGAAGGTAAAACAATGATTCAATGTGACAATCATTCTCATGTGTATTTAAAAGTTGTCTCACCTTATCTTTGTTTAGTGATGTTACTTGGTGATACTCAAGAAAGAGATATTGGATTATATGATTACAATTTCACTATTTTGCAAAAAGGAATCCAAGAGTTGCTTGGCTCAAATTAATAGACAATTTCTTCTTCTTTTTACCATCTTGTGTTCATTATTACACTTTTTCTTCTCATTTTATTTGTTTTGCTATATATTATAAAATACTATTCATTAATATTAAATAACAATTAAAGGGTTAAATTAAATGATTCATTTTTATTATAAAAAATAGCAAAATAAACTAAAAATGAACCATAAAGAATAAACAGAGAAAGTAAAAAAGAAAAACCCTTCAGATCAATTAAAGTGCACTTGATAACATCATGTCCAAGGATAAGAATAGATCATCTCACAATCAATCTCATAAGGCTCATAGAAACGGATTCTATAAACCAAAGAAATCCGCTTATATGTCAACTAAAGGAATGAATGTTCAAGTCCTCAAGAACACCAAAGCTCAACGTAAATTTGCTCTTGCCAAGAAACTTGAAGCTAAGAAAGCTGCTAATAAAGAATAAATTACAAATATGGTGTTAATTTACTTCTAGGGTTTGATTTTATAAACTAAAGTTATATTCTTTTCTTCTTCATAATGTATAATAAACATTGTTTTTGGTTCAATTAAATTCATTTTATCAAAAACAAACTGTTTAATAAGACAGATAAAAACAAAAGAATTACAGAGATAAATATTCACTAGAACAAAAGAAGTGTGGCTCCTTGAAAAGAGTCAAACTGACATTCATCTACTGGTTGACTTAGTGGTTGTGAAGGAGAATAGATATATTGCTTAAATTGTGGATCGTTGAGTATTGGGTTAGTGTCTCGTGGTGGTAAAGGGAATGCAAAGTCAGCAGGTGAGACAGTAGAAGAACACGATGATGATGATTGAGAGTCATAGCAAAATAATTTTACTGGAAGTGGAATATTCATTTCGCAGCTTCGTCTTCTGGACGTTGTTTGCATATTGTATTTATCTTTTAGTTTCTATTCCCCTTTATATCTCCGACTTTTCTGTTGATCCAATCACGTAATCTTCACTCATCTAAGAAGATCACTTTTATCAAGAAACACAAGATTATTCCGTACATTCTCTAAACCTCTAGTCATTTTCTTTTCGTTTTTGTTTCTTCTCTTTGACTTACTGAAAGTGCAATGTACGGAATGTATTGTTATAAGTAGAGTAATAGTAAGTCAGTACTTTGGTCAAGATAAAATATAGTCTTGTCATTTATTTTGTTTATGTCTTTCATCAAAATCTTGTTCTATGCAGTTTAACAATTGAATTAAACAGAAAGATTAATGCATACATATATTAAAAGAACTGTACAAGACATAAGGCATTACTAAGACAGCTATTCTTTCAATTGAGCAATTTTATTTTATATCACAACTTAAAAAACACACTTATAAATAAACTTATTATCAAAAATTTAACAACATTCAAAACATGGTTTTTATTCATTCACACATTATTTTTTTTGTTCTATATTTCATTCATATTTAATCTGTGTTTATACTAAGACTTTTTCATTACATAATCTTTCTAAATGTTTTAAAAAGTGTTGTTATATTCAGACTCATCAAACAATGTTCGATTCTATCTGTTTCTTGATAGCCACTCTGTTGTTTTTAATAAAATAATCAAAGAAATAACTATTTACTTTTAATGTCTTGACTAAAAATAATGAGAGAATTTAATTCAAATGAAATAACTTATTTCTTTCATCATATGTGATTTAGTACATTATTAAAAGTATAAAAAAATTAATTTTGATTTTTAATAATTTCTTCTTATTGTTTTAAATTAATTTAATTTTCAATTAAAACTAATACAAAAACAATAAGTAAAATAATAAAAACGAAAGCAAACACAGTTTGATAAAATTAAGAATAACCATAGAGAGTTCTTCCTTGTCTCTTAAGGGCATAAACAACATCCATAGCAGTTACAGTTCTTCTTTTAGCATGTTCAGTGTATGTAACTGAATCTCTAATGACTTGTTCAAGGAATTGTTTGAGAACATTACGAGTCTCATCATAAACAGCTCCATTAATTCTCTTTACTCCTCCTCTTCTGGCGAGTCTTCTAATTGCTGGTTTAGTAATTCCTTTAAGTGCGTCTTGTTGTGTTTTAGTTCTAATTCTTTTTCCTCCATTACTTGCTTTAGCCCCTTTGGAACCTTTTCCGAGAGTTACTCCCTTTCCACCTTTACCTCTTCCTGATCCTGTATCCGTAGCCATGTGATTATATCACAGTTAATGATTTTTTAGTTTCTTTCTCCCTTTTTATATCTCTGTTATTTTCTTTTACCATTTTTCTTTTATCATTTTTTTTAACTATACTTAATAATTTTTTTTCTTCTCTTTTACTATCTTTTTTTTATCTTTTTGTAACTTATTTTGAAACATTCATTTTCTAATTACTCTCTTTTCCCCCAATTTTTCAGGAATAATATCCAACATTTTCTTTGAAAGTTGATGAATTCGGAAAAAAAACCCTTTTTTTTTTTCACTTTTCCTAATGATTCAAACTTGTAAAGAAAAGAGAAAAAATTAGAAACAGGGTTTCTTAAAATAGTAAACTAACTGAAAAACACAAAATATATCAAAAATGTTATTTGTTTAAAAAATAACAACCAACAAACACTCAATGGAAAAGCAAGACCAAAAGTTAGAAAACATAATGAAACAAGAGAAGTGGTGGATGGGTAATAATGGTGAACAAGTACGTGTATTGGCACCTATGGTAGGAATAGTTTGTTCTGTTGTCTAATAAAATGAATATAAAACTAATACTTGATACATAGTGTACAGTTAGTTATAGGACTATGGCTCTTGATGCAGGAGCAAGTGCTGTATTCACTGAGGAGTTAGTTTCAAAGCGTTTATGTGAATGTAAAAGAGTGGAAAATTCTGGGCTTATTCAATACATACACAAAAATGATGTTATGCTTACATTGAAACCAGAACAACAATCAAAAACAATACTCCAACTAGGAACCTTTGATGTTGAAAGTTCAATTAAATGTGTTTCATTAATCAAAGAGGTATGTGGAATTGATATTAACTTAGGATGTGGGATGTGGTTTAGTACTAAAGGAGAAATGGGACAAGCACTTGTTAGTAATAGAGACAAACTTGAAAAAATAGTTAAGGCTCTTGTTAAACTAGGCAAACCTATATCAGCAAAAATTCGACTTCAACAAACCCATGAAGAAACATTAGAGTTCATTCAATGGTTGTACTCATTAGGAATTAGCATTATTAGTTTACATGGAAGACACCACAAAGAATTATATGGTGTTGACTGTGATTGGGTAGAGTTAGAGAAAGTGGTCAAGGATTGTCCTTATGATCTTATTCTTAATGGAGATATTTGTAAACAAGAAGATATCACTAAATTACTTTCATTTGGAAAGAATGTTAGAGGGGTGATGATTGGAAGGGCTTCAGGAATACATCTTGGATTATTTAATCCACAAGGAGGGGATTATGTCTTTGACGAAAATAAGACTAAAATGAGAATGACTGACTTTGTTCAACGGGCAATAAAAGATGGATTAAGGTTTACAAAAATCAAATTTGTTCTTCTTCAAATCATCAGGTATGAGAAGGATTATCCATTCGGATCATGGAGAAGAGGAAAAACAACACTTAAACTCAATCAAATGAACCAACGCATTTCTTCATTAAAAACTATTGAGCAATTGATTGACATAATATCTCTTCCTGAGTTGAAGAAAGAACTTGTTCAATCACAAAACACCAACGAGAGTATTGAAGAAGAAAAGAAATTAAAGTAAAAGTGACAAATCATATTAATAGAATATTTTTGTTATTTGAATTTAGTATTTTGTTATTTTAAAATCATACATTTAGATTTAACAACAGTAAATGACTAAGTCTATTATAAATATAAATTATTACCACTGGTTAATTAACACACTTCGTTAAAGTAACTATCATCTTATCATCTTCTTTTTTTTATCTACTGTAAAGAAATATAACTCTTATTGTTATACAAATTCAAAGAGAAGAAGATGAGTCAAAGAACATTAAATCTTCTTGAACAAGAAGTCTTTTGATTTATTTCTTGAATGTTGATTAAGTTTATAGTTGTTTAAGTTCATTCATAAACTTAAAAGAGTTTTATTCTATTAGACTATTACAAAAGATGTTTTGAGTATTTGTAGAGGATATAGATAAGGAAAATTAAAATTAGACAATACTTGAAATAAGTGTTTTTAATTATTATCATCAATGTGAGTATGATTAAGTTGTTAACAAATGGTAATTTCTAGTATTGATGAAAAGAAAGAGTTTAGAGAAGTGATACAAAATCTTCCCATAGCAACAAACGATACAATCATACTAACAATAATGTATCTTCTTAAATGTATTAAACACATTGTAAAAAATGTTGGTGACTATACTAAGAAAAGA